AAGAGACAAACCAGTTTCCTGGAATGGCTCCCCCAGAGGCCTGAGTCATCTCCAGCTGCCGTGCAGTTTTTAATTTTGAAATGAAACCAGTCCTTCCTTCCAGTAGCCAGTTTTCATGCTCTTGATCCTTGAGAACTGGATGTATAGCACACACGAGGAGGGGGACCACAGAAGCATTTCCTGTTGCACTCTTCCCTGGCCCCTCCTCACTCAAAATGTTTCTCTGCATTTCCCGAGTCTTAGCTTTCGGGAGGACAGCAGGATTGCATTATGCTAGATGCAGCCAGACCCCTTCAAAAGACTAACAATTTGCCTTTGGGAGAGGGTTTGGCAGAACTTTGCGTATTTGTCTTATTATTCTTCTCTCCTTTTTCCTTTCCAGCTTTTTTAACAACAATTACCTCTTTGCTAAGTAAACTTAAAATATGCTACTCCACAGAAAGCGGTGCCTTTCTTCACAGGATGCTCAAGACTATAGCCCTGGGGACTGGGCTCCCTCGCTAGTCCTGGCCCAGCTGTCTGTCCGTGGAACACACTGGGGTGGGAGCACCCAGGAAACGGTGACTTGGCTTTGCTACCAGACCTGTGACCTCAGGCCACGTATTCACCATTTCTTCATCTGAAGTGTCAAGGGTGTGGAGAAAGCATCCACCAAGGTGGCAATTTTCTGATTTTTTAAATATGTTTTATTGATTTTAGAGAGAGAGGAAGGGAGAGGAAGAAAGAGAGACAACGATGGAAGAGAGAAACATCGATGTGCTGCCTCCTGCACGCCCCTACTAGGGATTGAGCCGCAACCCAGGCATGTGCCCTGACTGGGAATCTAACCAGCGACCTTTCAGTGCATGGGATGAAGCTCAACCCACTAAGCCACACCAGGCAGGGCTAATTTCCTGACGTTTTAAATAACCAAATGGAAGTCAAACTTACCAACCAGAGAGAAGGGCCTATGTCTTAGTCATTTTTGTCCCCTCCCTGGACCCCTAAGCTCCCCTATGGAGGGCAACAGGGGTTATTAAACATCAATGAATATGAGCACACAGAAGCCAAATAGTTAGATTTCTTCTCTCTGAGCCAAATTCTGTAACTCAGGACCCAAACAGTGGATGTCTCAGGCTAACAACCAACCCTAAGTCTGAGCATAGGTAATCTATTTTTTATTAACAAACATTTTAAGTGGGACATTCATAATTATAGTTTGTGAGCATTATTCAAACAAGTTGCCTATCAGGGGAGACTAGCAAAGTGCAGGTAATGAGAAATTTGAGTTACTGGATCAGTTCATCTTAACATCCCATCCAGTTCTAAATTTCAAAAATCCTACCCAGATACAGTGAGGCATGAATATGCAAACTTGCTTTGGCTCTGAAACACCTTACTGTTAATTCAAACTTTTCTTAGTAGGTTTGGGAAAACGTTTCCTTAAAAGTTCTTCTTTGGTGAATGCTCTTGTAATGGAATCATCTTAGAGTGAAGAATACCCCATTTCAAGGCATAATTTCACCTCATACCTGAGTTAGAAAAAAAGAAAATCTAAATTTACTTCTACTTCAGATACTGCAGTCACATCTTTTAATTATGTATTGAAACCATCTCTCCGTGGTTCCATAAGTTACCTCCCAGCCCTGTTGAGATATCTACCAACTCTGCAGACCCAGAAACCCCACCCTAAGGACTCCATCACCACTGGGAGGTTTTTCTGGAGCTCTGAGGGTTATTCCGCCCTCTAGAGGAAAGAAGGCCAAACTGCACTTTCAAGAACAGTTCTACTAACTCAAAATTTCATCTCCTTCCCAAAATAGACCTGTGAGACCAGAAGGTATTAAAAGTCATGTTTTCGAGAATTAACGTAAGTAATTTCCGAGGGGAAGCCCTCTTTGTAAATCAGGATGGCGTGTGTGCTCCCTGAGTGTGTTTAGAGGACAATAAGCATCTTTTCTGTGAAAGCAAGAATTATCTCTGGAATGTCTACATCGGAAAGAGAGAAACCATATCTAGAAACATCTCATTCAAAGCTGTCTGATTTAGCAGGAATTTTTCAAGCTTCCTTGCTTTAAAATTTGAAGCACTTAGGGTTTTCATTAGCTTAGCTAGAGCTACTAATAAAAAATGTTTTAAATGTCAGGTCGTGCCTCAGATCGCCCACTATCTCTGTAGGCAGGGGTGTGTTTTACTGCCCACTTTCCACAGCGAAGGCACCATGAGAAGTCTGCTCCCACAGGTCACGATGGGAAAGCTGCCTAGGACACAGTCCCCTTTGGGTGGCTGGGGACATCCTAGTCAACGCCTGATTCTCCTCCAAGAGATAACAAATCCTCAGGTTCCTCCAAAGAGAACAGTGACAGAAACCAGTTTTCAAATAAAACTTTCAGCTGAAGTCATTAACATGCCTACAAGACAGTCTCACGCTACAGACGTGATGTGCCAGTGAATTTTAAATCCTAAATGTGGAATTTCACATAAAAGTGGGGGTGGCGCACACCGCTGTTAAGGGCCACGCTTTATCCCATTGTCTGAACACTGAGCGAGAAGACATAAAGCCCCGATGGCAAAAACTATCCCAGCTTTCACAGGGGAAGGAGACCTGATCTAAAGCTGACTTCAGGCGGTGGCGCCTGTGGCCTCCTAACCCAAAACTCAGGTCAAAGGGGGAGCCTCATATGAGCCACAAATTGATCATGGATTGGTAAGAGGGGTTTCTTGCTACTTTATCATCAGTGATGTGTTAGGTTCTAAGCTACGAGATCACAGAAGACACTATGATGGGAGAAAGAGGTACAGTGAATCCTGAACACTTTGGAAATAAAGGGAGGTGCAGAAAACAGTTCCTACCCAGAAAGATACGTTTCTTCTATCAAAAATGTCCTTAATACCCAAGTTTGAACATTCACCATATCTCTGATCACCTGAGAGCTGCAGGCATGGTAGGGTGGGGTGGGCTGGTAGAGCTGGGGCCCAGGACTAATATTCCAGAGGCTTCTCCAGCCACCTCCCAAGAAGGTGGGGTGGCCACACCCTCCAGGTCCCGACTGGAAAAGGGCAGGACAGCCACACTCCTCCACCCTGCTATGGCATCCTTTCCTGAGTCCTCCCTCTACCCCACGTCCTCCCAATGGTTTTCTCACCGCCGTGAGCAGGCAATGAGACCAGTAAACCCATAATGAAACACCCTTCTCTTAACAAAGAGCATATCCAGACCACATGACCATTCTTAGATCTTGAATTCCCACAAAAGCCCCTCAGCTCCCCACCTCTATGCCTTCACCCTCAGCAACAAGCCTACACAAGAACGAAGCAAAACGTAGGTTCCATATTTCTGGGCCCCCACCCCCCAGAGCTGGCCTGAATGAGGGAAGCCACTCAGGTGATCTGATCACAGAGCCAGTGTCCATCCCTGCGGCCAGCTCACTTGCCCAGCACTTGGTTCTCCATTTATTGGAAGAGCCGTGGGAAGCTTCAACTTCTTTCCCTTTAGTTTTAACAGAAAAGGAGAGGAGGGCATTATCTCCTGGGGGAACGAAGCAGATAACACATTTCCAATCTAGACATAAATTAGCTTGGGGTCCCCCATGGTAGGCCGTCTGCTTTTCTGAAACGGTCATGATTTTACTGCCTTCTCAGCCACTTACTGGCTGTGTGGCCTCAGCAAGGGATTCAGCATCTCAGAGCGCCCCACTCCCTCGAAACCAGGGGACCACGCCCCAGAGGCGCCCACCAAGACCCTCTCCCATTCTCTGTGGCCCAGCAGAGAACCCAGAGGTTTCAATGACGTCCAACAGCCACGGGTTCTCAGTCTAATGCTGGTTAGAAACACAAAATACCTGATTTTAAAGCCATCTCTGTTCAAGGTTTCACAATGGGTGGGCCCCTGGGAGGTTGGGGGATCCCAGGCAGAGAATAACTCTCCACATGCGCTCTGAGCACCCTTGCAGCCCTAAGATCCCACAGCTCTCGAGGTGCTGCCTGGCCTGGGGCACCACCCCTGCATTCAGAGCAGTTTCTTCTTGGGGTTCAGAGCAGCCTCTAAGTCTGCTCCTTGGGTGGCTGGGAAGTGCTGATTTTTTTTTTTTTTTTTGCATTCCCCAATACTCCATGAGGCCCTTCCCAGGGCCCCACCCCCGCCTCACTCCACACTGATTTCCTAACACAGTGAGCCCTTGAAACAGGTCCCCAAAGCAGGCTGGCAACTGTCAGGGAACACTTTCCATCCTGGGGGAGAGGACCGAGCCCCACCCTCCGGCCAGGGAACAGGCCTGGGCCTCCAGCCTGGCACCCGCCCCCCATCTGGGCAGCACAGGCCGGCCCGTGGCCCCGGGGGCCCTGCCTTATCCACTGGGCATGCCGCCCAAACACCCAATGCCTTCTCCCCGCCTGACCCTGCAGCTCCTTTGAGCAACCGCAGAGGACAAAGGCTTCACCAGAGCTCCTGAGAAGATGAAGCCCCGGTGATAAGGGCTGACTCTTGACTTGGCCCTGTTCCTGGACTCCAACGTCTCCAGAGTCCCCTCAGAGGACACAGCTGTGCTCCACCAGCCCAGCCCCTGTGAGGACCGGGCAGAACCCCCGCCTGAGGCACCCGGGAGGGCTCAGAGAGGCCTCCCCAAGGAGCAGCCCAGCAGGTAGCTCCTGAGTTCTCCCAAAGAAGACACTCCTGCTAACAAACAGATTCCCACCGAGTTTCAGGAGAAGACCACGGCCAATAAACGCCTTGTGAGCCCAGACACACGGCTGCTGGAGGGCACAGGCGGAGACAGAGACCCCAGGGCCCCGCAGCCCAGCCCAGGTACCCCCACTGGCAGCCCACGCCTCCACTGAGTTAGAGAAGCCCAGTGGCCACAAACCGAGAAACAAAAATCAGCTGAATCCTCCAGAAACCTGCAACTTATAAAGAAATCGCGACTCTAAGGAGCGACCCTGAGACCACCTGGACATGGTCACCAGCTCCTAAGAGATCCCTTCTTCCCACAGACTCGAGACCACAGAGGGGAGGTGGCACTTACCCTGAGAACCCTGGAGAGGTGATGTCCCTGGGCTTCTGTGCTCAGCTCTGTTGGGCCTGGCGCATGTTCTGCCCACTCCCGGAGGCTCCCGTCCTTTCTGCAGGAGGAGCACTCCCCGCGGTCCCTGCAGGAGGCTGGAGCACAGAGGACTGAGCGCCTTTGGTGGAAGATCGAGCTGCAACTGGCCCGGGTCCAGGGGTACAGTCAGGGCTTCCTCCAGCTCCTCCCCTCCTCCTCCCTTCCCCACCCCTCTCTCCCCCTCCCCACCGCAGGCCTGCCCCACACTGTAAATGAAAACCAGACTCCCTCTGTTGCTCCTGGCCCACTGCGGGCTGATGTCACCCTCTGAATACCGTCTTCACCCTACAGCGTTCAGCTGGGCTCCTGCAAGCCCTGACTCTTGAAAGAGAAATTCACCACTTCGACTGGTCACCTTTTGGGCCCGGCCCCCAGTGGCAAAGAGAATGAATTTTAGAATTTTTTCTTGGGTATCCATGGTTTTCCTGCAATGTTTTCCAACACCATCGGAAAGGAAAACAGGAAATACAGTCGCCCCCTCCACCCTCACCAGGCCCGCCCGCTTCTTCTTGAAGTTTCTGAATTGAGACTTCTCCTAATAACCTCCCCTTTCAAAGAGTACGACCAGCAATGAGAATCACCCGGTTTTCTGGTTTTCTGCTAACCGGAGCTCTGTCTGCCAGTGAAAAGGCAAGAAAAGGAGGCTGCATCTTTTTTTACAGCTCAGTATATAATGATTCTGATTGTGAGGGTTAGGACCCCATTCTCCTCTTGCTCAGAGTTTCAAGAAGGTTCTTGAGAAAGAACTCGCGTTTCCACGGGGCTTTGCCCAGTTCACAACACTTGATATAGAGCCTTTCTTTTACCTCAAACATCAGCACCCCAAGCGCCTTGCAATGGATGGATACATGCCATTGTTTGCTTGGTCAGATTATGGTCCCATTTTACAGATGAGCAAAACCCTGGGTTAAGTAGCAGAGCTCAGAATTGAATTCTGGCCTCGGACAGTCCAAACTTTCTCACTGCTCTCCTGTCACGTGACACCTATGACAAGTCAGTTAACGTGAAGGATTAAGAGACACCCGAAGGATATTTTGGCTTTGAGATCCTTCCAAAGCCAAGTTTGAGGAGTAAGGACATCGGGAACTTCTTTTCACGGATTATCTCCTTCAAGTTCAGGGAGCAAGGGAGACAGTACCAGAGAGACCATGCCCACTCCCCCCTGCAGCCCCAGGGCACCCTACGGTTCAGCTCAGAGAATGTTGGGCTAAGGGACAGGGATGGACACCTGGATTGTGGCGATTCCCTGCTCGTCATCTGTAGATGAAAAGAAAATGAGCAGAGACTCTGAGTAGGAACCACACTGCCTATGTGATGTGAGGAAAGACGACATTTAAAATAAATGAGAGCCCACCCAAGCCAGTGTGGCTCAGTGGATAGAGCATTGGCCTGCAGATTAAGGGTCCTGGGTTCTGTTCCGGTGAAGGGCATGTACCTCGGTTGCAGGCTCCTCCCCGGCCCAGGCCCTGGTCAGGACAGGTGCAGGAGGCAACCAATCGATGTGTTTCTCTCACATCAATATTTCTCTCTGTCTTTCCCTCTCTCTTCCACTCTCTCTAAAAATCAATGGAAAAATATCCCCGGGTGAGGATTAAAAAATTAAAATAAAATAAAATAACTGAGAGCCCTGGCCGGATACTACGCTGAGTGAAATAAGTCATACAGAGAGCCCTGGCTGTGTCCTGTGTACCAAGAGGTTGCTGGTTCGATTCCCAATCAGGGCACATGCCCAGGTTGCGGGCTTGATCGGGCAGGGGGCATGCAAGAGGCAGCCGATGGATGTTTCTCTTTCTGTTTCCCTCTCCCTTCCTCACTCTCTAAAAATCAATTACAATATTTTTTTTAATAGCTGAGAATATACCTCCCTTGGTATTAGGAGAACAAGATTTAAAGAAGCCCGACTCTCTAACATTTAACTGTAACTGATGACGTAGGCCCTCTCCAGCACTGCCCCTGGCGCCAGGAACCTCGGAGGCTGGTGGCAGTTGGTGGCAAGCCTCCAGCATCCTCCCTGGTGCTCACTGAAGAGAGCATTTTGGTTGCTATGGTTTTCCCTCTCGTTACTGAGATTTGGGATCCTCACTGGACTGTCCCATCCTCTCTGCCATCTGGTCCCAGGGGAAGCCATCTCAGATGTCAGCGCAGGGTCTACTTGGCCACCTGGGGGCCTCGTCAGCCACCATCTCTCCCTCAGTCTCCCCCTCGGTGTTGGGTTGAACAGGTCCTGATGCCCCTCTCGTTTCCTCCTGCACCATTGGCAAGTTCCACTCCCGTCTCCCAAGCTCCCGGTGCAGGCCCGGGAAGAGGGGTTGGGGGGCTCCCTTAGACACACTGCTGGGACATGGGGACGGTGGACAGAGGTGCTGGCGATTTTTCTGCTACTCTGGCTGGTCTTTTTGCTGCTGAAAAACTCAATGAGAACCCCTCCCAGACCCCCTCCGGGCTGGGAGCACCCACTCTAGCAGCCACTGTGGGTGTCGGCAGCTAAGGGCTCACAACGGCACCCTTTGGGGAAAATTCCCGTTGGCCCTGGGAGCTGCCTCTCCTGGGGACCTTGGGATGAGTGTAGAAGGCGGAATTCTAAGGGAGGCTCCAGCTCCCCGTGCTGCGGGGCGTGGAGAGGGGCAGCTGGGCTCAGAACCCAGAGCCCCTTCCCTGGCTCCGGAGAGCTGAAGGGAAGCTGTGAACGGAGGAGCAGCAGCCAGACTCCACACTCCAGCTGAGGACACCACCCCTATCCTGGATTGCAGCCCTGCATACAGGCCCGGGCACAGGCTCCCCAGTGCAGCCCCTGGGGAGGCGGGGAGGGCTGGCCTGGAGAGCGCCCACCCCAGAGCCCACGGCCAGGGCCTGCATCTGCCGTCATGGTCATAGACATCTTGTTGTGAGGCTGGAGGATCATCTTACTGGAGGGGGTTTGTGAGATTCCAAAGTCAGTTTAAAGTGACACGCTCCAAGGAGGCAGCGCTGCTATTTCAAGAGATGGAGTGTGAGCACAACCAAGGAGGAGCCGAGCTTCCCACTGACCCCGCAGCTGCAGGGCAGCTGGGACTCGTCCATCCGTCCCTGGGCCCGTTCTCAGCCTCCTAAAGTGGCACAGGGCACAGCGGAAACCAGGCCCTCGTGCCTTCTTGCCACTAGTGAACCACAGGTCTTGGGCAAATCTGCTTTCTGGGCCCAGTTTCCTCATCTGCAGAACCCATGGTAGCGTCACGACAATGTCAGGACCGGTCCAGCACTGACCCCCGGGGGTCAGGCTGTATCAGTTATATGTGCCTCTGCCTGACCTCCAGCCCCAGGCTGCAGGCTCTGAATGTCCACCCAGCCGAGCCCCAGGGCTGAGGATGAGAGCCTGTGGTGGGCTCACGGCCCTGCCCTGCGCCTACACGGGGTCCATGTATTCTGCTGCGCTCCTTCCACTGGGCTCTCTACTGCTCAAATAATGCTGCTGCGGCAATTTTCTGAGAGTCTGCAGCTCAATGACATTTCCCCTCCAATCGCCAAAGCACAGCCAGCTATGAAGGGAAATACAGTGCCCTTGGGGGACATCTGCTATGGCATTTGTCTAGACGGCACTTCCCTTGGTTTGGGAAAAGCCCTTCCCCTAATTTCATCATGTGCTTCAAAAAGGAGCTGCCAGCTTCCTGCAGAGCCTCCGGCACCACCCCCACTGCTGGATCCGGGGTAGGCACGGGACACGCATGACGCCGGCCGACCCCTACCCCAACGTCTCCAGCTCACGCCCACAGCCCGCTGATGTTGGGACTCCCTGATATGACCCCAGGAGCTGCCATATTTGCAGCCACATGAGGGAAACCAGAGGAGAGAAGGTGACCGTGTACCATGGATCCTGCTTCCAGACAGCTAAGACCCAGCCCACCCACAGTCTGGTCCCACCCACCCATCTCAACTCTCCCTTTGATTACAAGAGCCAACAATTGTTCTTTTTTTACACTAATTTGAATGAGGTTCCCCAGGCTTGCCACCAAAGCAGCCCTGCCTGGTGCCTTTATAACAACTGTTCACGGGGCAGCTGGCCACCTTCGGGCCAGCAGATCGTCAGGCTGTGGCAATAATCAGCGCTGCGACTCCATGGTCATTCCCGCTGTTGTGAACATCTTCATCTGGATTTTCTTTTATTTTTCTTAAACTATTTTTCTAATCAAAGAGACGGGAAGTGAGGTTCTTGTCACTGAGTGGCACGTGAACACAGACTGAAATGGAAACAGAGACATTCAATGGCTTGGCTGAGGCATCCACCAGCGAGATGTGGGGGAGGGTTTAGCCCTGACGCTTTGACTCTAAGAGCTTCGGAGACACCCGTGTAACAATATACATTCTCGCAAAGGAATGCCAAACAAGAGGAATTTTGTAATTACCTTGAATCAGTAACTTGTGGGGAACACGCAAGCCCCTTCACTTGGGGAAATGAGAAGATTGCTTTCAGTAGAAGTATTATGCCAGCTCTGAGCTGGCTCTCGGAAAATTTGTGTAAAAGTGCCCAGTTAAAAATATAGCATACTTCCCAGAATTTTGTGAGCTATAAAGCATGCTCAGCTGATTAATTTTAAGGGTGGCAAACCCAAATGTGAGATGGTCCAAGAAACTGTTTGCAGTTGATTGGAATTCAAAAATTTTAGCACGGAGATATTTGGTTTTACAATTACCAAGCTACACCAAAGTTCCAATTTGACTCATTTTCTTTTTGATACATAAATTCCATTTGTAAAGGATGGGTGGATTGGTTCTTTCTTGAACAACCTTAGCCTCAGGATTGATTTTTCTCTCCGGCATAAAATCAAAAACGTCTACTCCTTTTAGCTTCACTGTCACCCTCTGCTCCTTCGTTTATTTAGCCAACGTGTACTGAGGGGCTATTGTGTGAAAAGGCTGCTCTTGGAGGTGGAGGTGATGCCCAGAGGAATCAGAGTGGAGACTTCCCTCCCTCCAGGGTGGGACCTCCCATTCCAGCCAAGACCTAGGGGCAAAGAAGAGGCCTGGGGACACACGGAGTAAATGCTGGAGGAGGCCAGGAGAGGGCGCCCTCACTTCCACCTGGGAGAACCCAGGTGTTCTGGGAGCTGTGACCTTTGGCTGAGGGACTTGAAAACTAGACATTTAAGATGCAGAGGCAGGTCACTCAGGA